TGAGCAGTTGGAAAACTTCTGCCACATTTTGTCAACTTTACACAGCACCAGCGCACTAGTTTCTTTTTTTTTTTTTTTCTCCTGTGCCACAAAGTAATTGTTGTTTAAGCTGTTAAACTCACAGCAGTTTCAATACCCTATAGCTTGGGTTGTAGTGGATGCCAATTTGTCTGAGAATATGGATAGCAAACCCCTGGAACATTCTTCTATATTTTTTCACAAGATGATGAAAGAAATGCTAACTGTGAGATTACACGGAGTTACAGAAGTCGGTGGAACAGAAGCAAGGCGATGTCGACGCTCTATAGAAGGACACAAGAAACAGAAGAAGAGAGATGGCATACAACAAAAGTTCTTGGGGGTTGTTAGGCTGGAAACACCGCCGTTACATTGCTGTAAGCCACTAACCACCAGGACGTCGTCTTTTTTTTCCTCTCAGATCTCTGACATTTTTATGGATGTGTGGAACAAAACAAAGAAACAGCCTATACCGACACATTACACACAGTTCTCCATCTATGTAGGACTTGGTCTCATCTCATTTTATCCCAATGTTTGGTTTGCTGGACACAAAGACAACACTCTGCAGCTACACACATCCCCTCAGCAAGCTGTCCTTTAATACAAGAGTCTTATTTGTAGACAACAGTGGAGTTCCGAAGTAGCAAGTGAGGTTTGCTCAAAAAGCACCTCAGTGGTGGTTAATGAGGAAAATGTCCACAAATTCATAGTTGTACTGTGTTCACTTGCATTCTGCCTCCAGTCCTCTTGGTGAATGTTTGCTAGTCTTGCGGCTGGATTCGTCACTTCCGTTTTCCCCACATTGTCAAACCTGTCTCCACTCACTTCTCTTTCCTCCTGTCCATCTCCACCTCGTCCTACAATTTCATTTTGCAGACGCTTTTATCCAAAGCGACGTACATCTGAGAGCAGGTGCAACAACAGTCCATGGTGTCTTGACTAGTCTCTATCATCCATGTCCCAACTTTGCTCCACCACCACTACAAGCTTCTGGACTCCTGAGGGTCCTGTCTTCATCTCCCTTGTTCATGTGGGACTCTGCTCCATGATATCACTTCTCATTGGAATCTACTCATTTCAACCTTCACCTCACAGCAGTGGGCTCACAAACAGTGTATCACATGCATCCTATACTCATTTGTCTAATTCAGTTTGTAAAATCCAGAGTCTGACATGCTGCACATTATTGAAATAGTCATTAATGACATTATGACAGCATTAAATAATCTGGTTTGACGACTGAATACAAATTAGTGCTTTTTGTCTGCATAACTTTTTTACATTCAGAAATCCATAACCCAAATTGGCGAAGAAGCACATCTGACATTTCTGTCTATTGTATTCAGACTTATTTTTCCCATGTTGTCATCCCTGGCTTCAGACTTTATTGGGCTTATGGCCTGACAAGTAAAATAAATGCCAAAAATTGTGCTTTTCCCTTAAGCCCAACCATTTGAAGTGCAATGACATTTGACATCTTGCTTGCAGAGATGAGACAGTTAATCTTTAAAACTACTGAATCTCTGGATGTTATTTCACTTTGTTTTCACCACATGAAAAATGTCTATATTCACTGCATGTTCCTCCGGCGCGGGAGCACTGTCTCTGCGAAATGTCTTGACTGGAGGTCACCTGTCTGATCACCTCTGGTCTTTGGCCCGAGCCTTCACAAAAAGTCAAAAAGGTGCTGCTTAAGGATCTCAGTGGCTCATGTGGGGAAAATTCCCTCAAAGTAAAGCTTGTAGACATCAAAGAGGCTTTTTCTCTCTGATGGCATCTTGAAGCACAGCAAACAGCGTGCATTTGTGTGTATTTGGACTCCGTGCGGGCAAGGCTGTGGCTACACATGGTCAGCACAATTACCGAACATCAAAGGCTACTAACATCTCTTCTGTCATCCTCCAAAGTGAATCATCCTGCCAGGTAAACGGAGATATAGCTGGACAGGATACGGCGAAGGAGAGGAGGGGGACGGAGAGGGAAATGAAGACGAGTTAAGGGTCCTGTGTGAAGGCTGGAGATATAATTAAGAAAAGCGGTTGAGGAAAAAGATTAGGATTGATAGAGGGATAGAACGAAGTGGCGCCGACTGAATGGACTGAAAGAAGGCGAGCAGATATGAGGGCTAGTACATCCACATCATAAAGAAGAGGGATGTATTTGCATATGGAGCGGCTGATACCTTCGAGACAGCTTCAGCTCTCGCAGCTGGCAGACTGACAGCGCTGGGCAGGTGTGAGACTCGGTACCGTGGCACATTCAGAAAGTGACACTTAAAGAGAGCTGCATGCATGTGTGTGTGTGTGTGTGTGTCCATGTGTGCGCAGAGGCCGCCATTCATCTTAAACAGCCCTTTGTGCAGCAGCATTCAGAAATAGAGACAAACTGTGTCAGATCTCTCTCTTTACCCAGCACAACCATCTGCATCCTTGTTTCTAATTGCCGTTCTGTTTTGTACAATTTTCTCTTGCTTCTCTCCCAAAGTTAAACTAAGGGACAGGAAAGCGCTTTATTCACTGAACATCCATGCAGTTATACGCTACGTGAAAACCTGACGCACGTGTCTGGACTGAAGTCTAATTTCTTTGGATCTCGGCTTTACATCAAAATATCCGACACCAACGCGTTTAACTTGTCATTTGTTTTCCTGGCCAAGAGGTGAACTATTCTTTATTCCGACACAGTCTTGCGCTAAATGAATGCATCAATCAATATTACCCCCTATTTCCCCACTTTATTCCCTTGTCATTTCACTGCAGGCAACAAACTAGCAATTTTTAATCAGGCTGCACAAATTGGCATGTTAAGGGCAAATGCAAAATATATTATCTTTCTTCATTTTTCTAAAACACTTCGGTGTCCTGTTTTGCTCAGGGGCCTTTTTCGAATAGTGGTCAAGTTTTTTTTACCTTATTATTGAATAACTTTGTAACAAGTTCGAATTCGAGGTCATTCATTATCCATTATTCATGTTTAAATGAATGTTGAGCCCAAAATATACGCCTGTTTCCCTTTGTGAAAAGAATACGGCTCAGAAAAACTTTCAGTAAAGCCGCTTTGTCCTCTATTCATCGGGAAACATATTGACAAATCTAATATTTATTACAATGAGTGAAATAACCGAGAGCGAGAAAAGAAAAATAACTTCAGAAATCTTGTGTTTGGACAAAAACTTCTGGTTTTGTAAATGAGTTTGAAGTATTTGATTGTTGCATTCCCAAGAAATTACTGTGTTTTGTTAAGAAACTTTTTTGTTTGTTGGGTTTTTTTTTGGTAATATGATTTTAGGATATTACTGTAACATTGAGTTTCACATTACATTTACTGTGTGATTGGCCGTGAAGCATCAACTTGACAAGGTGTTGAATATAAGCGTACAAAAATACAGTGGTGGGTTTGTGGTTTCGTGACAACTCAGTGGACTTTGTTGCACGGTATTTATTCATTGTGTGGCTTCAAATCCACTGTTGCCTGTCATCCCACCTGTCTCTTCCATCTGTCTCGTTATTCTTCTTCTCCATCTAACACAATTGGAATACTATGAATGAAAAACTTTCAGCAAATTTGGGAAAGTTTATACATATTTTTTCTTCTATTTCCTGGGGAATGCAGCTCCTTTCCAAATTGTTATCTGCAAAACCCGCTTGACAATAAGGAGGGATGAAAAACATTGGTACAAAATAACATTTTGCATGAAAAAGTAATTTTTTTTGTCTGGTCCTTCCTCGATCACCCTGTGCCAGTTCACAAAACCGCTCTGATTGATTGAGTGGTAATTGAGTTTTTCACTGACCCCTCACTTTTCATCAGAAGAAGAATCATACCTCAGCTGCACAAATGCAGCCCTCTCCAGACTGTATTTATTGCTGACAGATGGGCTGATTGCAGCTGCTTTTTTCAGTCTAACATGACATCTTATTGCCATTACCTAATTCCCCCTTCAGTCATCATCTTCTGACTCACCCCTCTCCCTTCCGTCTTCCAGGCTCAGTTGCATCCACACCTTCCCTCAGTCTCTCCCCTCTCATTTTCTTACAACCCTCTTTATGTGCTCCATCTTTCCTTACATTTACACACTTTCTTACCTCTCCTGGAACACAAATGATAGTGAGGATTTAAAGGATTTTCACTTTACCATCTCCAGACAGAGCCGTATCACAAGCCAATACCCTAAATCTGACCACAAGTACTGAAGGCTTTTTACAGGAGAACACATACAGATCTTATTATTGCAATATAAGACTATTCCTGCTGAAGTGTTTCAGTTTTATGGATTTACTGCAGTATATTTTTGAAAATTTAAAGCTATAAGGAAAGTGTAAAATGTGAAGAAGCTATTGTTACAGCATACATTTTTACACATATTGAATCACTGTGGATATAAGTGACCTTTCATTCATGGGCAGAAACTTTCAGATGTTTTGCCCTCCTCAGTGGCTTTTATGTCACAACAAATCACACATTTCCCACATTCTTTTTAATGACTTTTTTCCCCCCTGCACCACACTGCTCTGATTTGCTGCGACTAATTGTAAAGTACTTACACCACTTATCTCAGGTAGAACTGTTTTTGTGGGAGTATTAAAACCTTGTACAGACAAACATGGGAAAAATGCCTGAGACAGCTGAAAGACTCCACACGACAAATTGAATGGCATCATAACAACACTGCCACTGTGCTCAGATAGGGAGCAAAAAAAAAAAGAAAAAAAAAAAGCATGAATTATTCTTGTTAATAAAAATTCATGAACATGTGTCTGTGCATGTGTTTGCTTGTGTTTTTGCAAGTGCGCGTGTGTGCGTGTGTGTGTGTGCATGGATCCTCATGAGAGCAAATTCAGATGTTTCCAAAGCAGCAGTATTTATGGTGTATCATCAGTGCTTATCTCTCGGTTCAGGAACACTGAGGTAAGAGGGGTCCAGGAGCAAAATGATGACTAAAAAAATAACAAAAAATAAAAAATAGAATCAGGCTTATGCAGATGTTTTGGCAACTATTTATTCAACAATTTTCATTTCATACATACGAACCTCTAAATTAAATATAATAAATCCCACAGACAATGGGAGAGAAACACCTCCGTTACGGTGCTATATCAAATCAAGCTCTCTCAGTACAGCTTGATAGGAAACCCCCTTATTTCACCAAGGTACATCAGAAGCTGAACTAACATACGTCTAGCTCTAATCCTGATCTTTACTGAGCTTTACTGTGGATATTTTTGTATTTAGTGAGTGACAGTGCCTTATAACACCTTCCATCTACAGACTGATATACATAAAGATGTGTGCTGCTACAAGGAAAAAACATGATAGAGGACAAAAGCATTGGGATGCTCACATACCAGAAGCTAAAATTAGATTCCCGTTAAAACACACCTTCTATCATTCTCGAAACTCATGATTATTTGCAGCATATTTCTAAATCTCAGTATTTCAAGTCAGTGATGTCATATCAAAAAACTGTTTTCTTAAGTCTAATATTCCAATGACAGCAAGGTGACAGAATTATTGAAGAATCACTGAATAATTTTTATTAACATTGTGATAATCTTAAACTCAACAAATACATGGTGTCAGCATACAGGGACTAGCAGAGTGAGAAGTGCTCACAAGTCCCCATTTTAAGAAAGGAAACAAATCAAGAAAAAAAAAAAAAATCTAAATGAAATATATTCCTGAGATGCAAAACAAAAGAAAAAAAAAAAAAAGAAACACATCACTACATGCGATTGTGTCACATGTTGTTGTCATCAGTGTGACGATATAGAAACTGGGCTGATTGATTCTAGTGTCAATATTGCAGAGGAACAAAGAAGTGCACTGAAGCCAAACTGTACAGCGAAGACATATGAAGGATCAGAGGAGGAGAGATAGGACAGGAGCAGGCCGTGTCATGTTATCATCACTGCTGTGGAGAACAAAACCATTAAAAACCACCAGTTCAAATGGAAAACAACAGTATTTTAGACAGATTGTAACTCAAAGTGGCCAGTACTTTCATATCCATCCTTTTAGAATCAGGGGTTCATGTTTTTTAAAAACAAATATGGGCCTCTAATTTGCTGAAACTGGGGACAAGTCGACTCTATTACTGCATGTGTGTGTGTGTTTGTGTGTATCTGTATGTGTTTGCACCGACTGAAATATTGTGTGACCAGATCGGGGCCGGCGCAGTGTGGTGAAAAGGCTGTAGCAGGATGAATACGCAGTGCAGTATCAGCAGGTGGAGTTTGGATAAGCCTCAATAATCACCGATCGCATCAGCGTCTCGTCCCTTTTTTAAAAGAAGCAGACGGGCAGGAGGGGGGTCAAGGAGCGACCGGAGGTGCGGATGCCAAGGCACAAATAAACAGCTCCCCAAATGTGTGTCACAACGTCTCTTTCCGAGTTGAATTGACATTCCAAGATACACTGAAATCTGGTGATATGATTGTGTTCTGTAAGGTAACAATATATAAAATGATATCAGTGCGCTAAGTCAACACCAGCAGTGACTTTAAGTAGAAGAAGATGTGTTGTTACTGTCTGTTTTCCAATACAGGCAGAACACACAGGCATACGATTACTGCTGCAGCTTTAATCAACTGAAAGAGAATGAACCTACAATCTACAGCAGTATAAACCACCCATCCATTTAACTGATTATCAACATAATAAAATATGTATTTAATGTGCATTTAAATGTGCTAGGTTGTAAAAAACAAAATACAGTGAAAGAGGCAAAACAGTATGCATTAAGGGTCTCTTTTAGTGATTTTGTACCGGTCTGTATGTGCCTCCACCTACATGAAAATTGTTCACAAAATTGTGTGCAATTTCATGCCAAAATTACTGCCAGTATTGCTCTGCTTAATCTGCATAAATGCACAACATCGGCTGCACCACTCACACCTTCAGTTGAAGAAAGTGGGTTTGTTTGGAGCCAGGAAATTAGAGACACACAATCCCAGAAAATGGAATTGTGCCCAATGAAAATGGCACCGCAACTATGTTGGCGCTATTACTGTCTTGCTGCCAGGATGAAATTAGAGGCCCATGATCTAGTGAATATTAACCAAAAACAATGTATGTTGGATATCAAGGAGACGACGTGTTTAAAGCTTAGTTTCAACCGACGACAACAAAGAGATTCAACTAAAAGTTAGATACCCACGATGTAACAGAGCTACAGCTGATTCTGTTGTAGTAAAATAGTGCATGGTGGTATGTGCCAAGGTGTTAAAAATACAAATTAAACAAGATTCAGGTTTGGTCTAACGATTATAAAAAGCCATTTGCAACAAATTAGCTCATTACCGTCATGTCAAAACAAATATTTACATGTGGTGTTCAGAAAACAAAACAAAACACACATTTTACCAATTACTAAGAAATGTCCGTCAAACTGGTCCGAGTACATATTTCAGCAAATGGCACCTGTTTCGCTTCTAATGCCAACTCTTCACTGCAGACCTGCTTAATTCTGAGTGTTCATCTAATACAAAACACCCTGAACTGTTCCTCTGACTCCTGAATCAACAGATTCATTCAACCACTCTAAGAAGATGAACAAAGAGGCGTTTAAGCAACAGAAAAGGTGATTGACACCATCAGTGATTTAAGACACAATGAGTAGATAGAAAAGTAAAAAAACAAAACAAAAAGAGAAGTAAAAAAAACAAAAAGAACAAGACTTTACATCATTGTGATTAATGTATCTACACACATGTACACACAAGGTTTCTAAAGACCAGAGTCAGTCTAGAACGCTTTAGTCTGGATCTACCGAAGGTTTGCGGTGACGTTAAACCTGTAAATTGTGATCTGCGGATTGAAGTGCACTAAAAGTGTAAAACTGTGGCAAAGCTTCTGCATTTTCAAAACAAAGAAATCCGTATATTTAAAAGTGTAATATACAACCTAAATCCTACATCAGTGGTTGACAGGCGACAAAAACAGAGCCCATCGACCGACTGACTCCCAACTTGTGATTCACTCCAACAGTGCTTGAGTTATAACACATAGAGAAAGACCTTACTTGCTGACCTTATTTGCATAATGTTGTAAATTGGCCACCGAATTGGAGACAGCTGGGCCCACTCTTTTATTGCCCTTGGTAATAATTTGCTCCCTCTTAGTAGATTAGTGCCTTGCCTTTAAGTCTTTATGTGTTTATCGCTGTTTCACAGGGGAGTAAATCAGCCAAATTCCTGCAAACTGATGAAAGACGAATGGCAGGGATGTATGAAAAGAAACAAAAGTTGTTTACTAGGATATGTAACGGTTGTCTTTATGTGTGGAACCTTTCTCGCCACCGACATAATGTTGCTTTTAATTTCAATTCCATCTCGTATTTTAAGGATTTGGTGAGGACAAATGCACATTTTTCCTGCATTTCTGTAGACAAGCAGCCAGTGTACGCTGTATCTTATTTTTTCTTTTTCAGATTTGCTTCAGTGACGCTTTTTTTTTCTTTTTTTGGTCATGTTTTCTAAAACACCAAATCCTTCAGATGTGTAGCACCTAAGGGCATGCCACAAACACAAGAAGCCACTTTTCTTCTCTAAAAATTAAGTTAGCAATATATTTTCATTGTGGTTCTCTCTTAAATAGCTTCAATTCAAATAAATTAAACATGAAAAAGAACCAAACAAAAACATGCTAATGTGTATTACCAAAATTTAGTTCTCACACATTATATACATGCCTTGCGCCAAAACAAAATACATTTGTTTTAAAATTTTTCCAATAAGGATTATGCAATGAAAAATGAAAAAAAAAAAAAAGTAAATAGATAAGGTGGCTAATATACAAATTTGAGGGAATACAGGAATCCAGAATTTAACAGCAATTTTCACAATCAATCACATTTTAGCAGACACAATATACAGCAGGGAGCTTAGAACCATTTAAACCAAAAATATTAGAAACATTTTTTTTAATATAAAAACATGATTTAGCTTACATTTTCAAAAAGATGAACTGCAGTTTTTTTTTGTTGTTTTTTTTTGTTCTTTTTTCATAATTGAATCAAAGACAGCCTTGTCATCTTTCCGCTAGTCATTTTCCCAAGGCAATCGAGTCGTTGGCAAAGGAACACAGTAACTCATTCAGACATTTTTGTGCTTCTCTATTTGTCTTCAGTTTTTAGTTTTGGAAAGGAGGCCCCTGCAGATCTATGACCCAGCACTCACACCATTTCTTTTGTTTTCCTTTTTTTTTTCCCCTTTTTTTTTTTTTTTCCTTTTTGCTTGAAGACCCCATGAAATGGAAATCAATGTTAAGTTCATGGAGAGTGACTCCGACAAAATGGAAATAAGAAGCATGACACGTTGGTGAGAGCAGTTTAACCAAACTGTTAGAAGCTATTTAATCCTAAATTTGGAGGTGGCAATGCGAACAAAAAAAATGGGACTGAAGTCAAACTGCTATTATCAGTATTTGTATAAAGTTGGAGTATGATTAAATGCTTACCGATGAACCAGTGACTGTGGAAAGCTGCCTGCACCTCAAGCTTACGAGAGGCATCGATCAGAATTACTGAAAGACTGAGGAATGTCACACTACATTTCCTGTTCCTGTGTTCTTGTTCTTATCTCGTATGAACACCCAATGGTTTCTTTTACATTTCACGGGGTCCTTAAGCCTTAATTTTTTATTTTTTAATGTGACATAAACATAAACAAAATTCTTCAAAGTGAAATGCTAAACTCATTTCAGTACAATTTATACAGCTTTTTAGAGAGAGGAGATTGACTCTTTCTGTACACCTGAACCCTTTATGTAAAATCACAAACTACTGTAAGCTGTCCAGATGACACTGAAGGTGTTGGTGTTTTCGCTAAACTGCAGCCTGGACAGTGCAGGAATATACAGGTAAAAGTACATAGGGACAGCAGTTTTAGCAAATGGTTTTTATATACTTGATTGAGTTTACTTGATGGAATGCTTCATCTAGTATCTTTCATATATTTTTGGTGTGTATTCTCTGCTCTAAACAATACCACACTACCCTTTATTTACTCCTACCCTAATGAAACTCATATTATACACTTATCCGACAAACCTTGCTACAATGTTACACAAAACCTTCTTCTTATCTCACCGGGATCAACTGTTTAATTACAAGTCTATTTAGAAGGGGGGTGGGGTCGCGAGAGGTGGATCATCTAAAAGTACCATATTCAGTGTGATAGACATGTATAAGGCGTAAACAGCACAGATCTTCATTCAAATAAAAAAAGATGCAATGCATAATCAAAAGCTGTGAGCTAAGCAATGAAAGGATGGTCCAGTTAACCATCTACAAAGCATTTACATTGCTACTGACAGACGATACATGAAGGCATTGACAGAAGTTCAATGGCGTCTGTATTTTTAGGCACCGTGTTGATGTGAGATATGATATGTGTTTGTGGACGTGTGTGAACAAAGGGGATATAATGTGTGTTCGGGTGTCTGGTTTGGCGGGAAAACGGGAGAAAAGACGTACAAGGGGAGGGGGGTCATGTAAGAAGCAGTCATGGTAGATACACAGATTTCCAGAAATTCATGTTCAGAGACGAGGAAAAACGCAGCAAGCTGCCTGTGAAAAACATCTGCCAGAAATAAAAAAAACAAAACAGAAAAACCAATAAAGAAGGAATTAAAGGACAAGATGTAAATGACAGAAATGGACCGAATCGAAGGAAATAATAGGAAACCACATGGGGAACTTCTCTGTTTGTGGACTGCCTGCGGGTTCCTCGTTGACACGCCGGGCCGCAGTGGCCAGAGGTGAAGAAGGAAAGTGGGAGACAGGAAAGAGAGGATAAGAGATACAGAGACCGAAAGAGAGAAAGAGAGAGCTGCATTGCTCCCTCTGCAGTCTAAATGAAGTATTCTTTCTTTTCTTCTGCGTTTGCATGGTTGCCCTCAGCGTTGATGATAGCTGTGTCGGCATCGGGTGCATCGTCCGCTCCTTTGGCCTCATTTGTCAAGTATGTTCCTGTGGCAACGAGAAAACAAACCTGTATCAGGGAAAACAAATACTAAGCAGCCCTGCATGGTGTAGGCAGCCCGAGGCAAAAAGCACATCTGAAGACAACATCAGTAATTCTACATTATTCATATACAGAATGTCGAGGAGCTCGGATAGGGTGGTGTATGTAAATACAGCAGAGAGTAAGTGGGTAAAAAAAAAACAACCCTGCGCCGATAAAGCAGAGCAGCATCAACAAACAGCTTTATTGTTTTCAACGGTGGCAGTTAAGGCTTAAAGTTGCACCTCTAAATAATGCGGCGCAGCGCTCAGTTTTTACTAAGAGCTCAATTTAATACACTATCGGTGCTGGAAACTGACCATCAACTTGGAACTTTTGCTTTTTGCTCTCTTTTCACTCTCTCTCTTTAGCTGCATGTATTAGCTGGATGTGCCACATATATTTATTTTCAGAAGAAGTTGTTGTCTACTCAGAAATGTCAGCGATTTGCATGTGGCTTTTTATGGAAAAATAGGAGGCATGTTGATGGGGCTCTCTGAGTCTTAGTCATGTTAGAAACTATATAACAACAAGGTAGCACCAAGATATGAAATAATATTACTCCAGGTGCTATCATTTGTCATACCTCAATCTAGGGGGTACAATTATCTATTATTTGGATCTACGCTTCCCCTAATTATTAATATGATAGCATAAATTGCTATTAGGTTCATGAGTTAATACTGATTGTTTGCAGTATTGATACAAAACAAACTGAGCTATTACAGTTTTACTTTAAAATTGTGAAGTCAACTATCAGTGGATGACTTTGTTCCTGAAGAAAACTTAAAAAACATGATGATGCTAAAGCAAGTGTTAGAGTTACAAGGAGCATTTTTTTCTCCTATTATGTCAAAGTGGATTTATGTGTGTTCATCAGAACTCCAAGCCACAACTAAATTAAAGTATGTTATAGCCCTCTCTCTTCCCAAAATGAAATTATTATTCAAAATGAATGAAATAAGATTCTGGGATTGTTTTCGAAAAAAAAAAAAAAAAAAACGTAGTGAGTTATTTCTTTTTGCTGCATATCAAAAGCACACATCCATTGACATTTCATTGCCTTCCTTCTTCTGTTCACCTCTGCAGGTGTATCATAGCCTTCTAACTTGGGAATTTGGGGAGAGCTGTATTCTAATGGGACAAGAAGGACATGCTTCACTAGTCACATGAGCCTCGAGAGACTCAGGTCTGGTCCGCTGTGGCTTTACCTTTATGCCTGGCCAGGTATCTTCCCAGAACAATGATTAAACACAAGGTGACAAAGACCACTACAGCCACCACTCCTCCGATCAAGGCATGGTCAGTGCCATGCTGCCCCATGGCATTGGGATCTGAGGAGAGACAGAGAGAGAAACAAAAAGAGCAGATGAAAGCGCCGCTTGGTGAGGTGAGGGAGCGAGGGCAGAGGAAGAGCAAAAAGACAGACAATACAAAACAGGGCAAAGGAGGAAAGAGAAGATTATTTCCAGCTCGTTCCTGCTCTAACGATTGTTCTGAGCTGCTGTCATTCCTCTCTCCTCTCACATCATGCAGTTGGAGCAGAGCTGCACAGCTCTCTGAGAATAATAAAATGGAGAGAGAGAGAGAGAGAGAGAGAGCGAGAGAGAGAGAGAGGAAGCGAGACGGACACCACATTGACACAAAGAGACAGGCAGACACACATTCGCCCTGCAAAATGAAGGAAAAAAGAGAATGAAAGAGGGACTTTGAAAAAGGAAGTGAATAATTCAGGACCACCCCCACAGTGCCGTAGGAGTCCCCAACATGCAAACCGGGGCAGTAGTTGAAGAGTGGTACACAGTAAATAAATCATCACATGGAAAATAAAAAGGGGAGATCAATCTTTTTCTGTTTCTTGGCGAGGATGAATTGTTGTTAGGAAAATGAATTAGGTGTTAGACAGTTGCTACAGGTCCCCAGCTGTTGGAAAAAGCAGCAGAGATGATAGAAGAGGCATGAAAGAGTGAAGAATCCGCCTGTTCGCACCCCTCTAACCCAAACCCATCCTTTCCTTTTGACAATTTTTTTTCTTTATTCACACCGATTTCCTTTTTTTTTTTCTCCCTACCCCACAATGTCTGGTTTGCAGGTTATTCAAGGTAAGAGTAAGGACAAGATACTGACCCATCGACGGTGTAAAGACCCACTGTAGGTGAATCTAACAGAAATACGAATGTTGACAGTGACAGCAGCGGGGGAGACGGCTGACGGAAGAGCTTGTATTATTCATATCGGTCCGTGACACCTGAGAAATTAGGACTTATCTCATTATCCTTTTCCAAGGCACGCCATATACAAACCCTGATGCTCTCGTGTGCGCACGTGGGTGCACGGTACCTAAAAATATGGTAATGTCAGAGCACGGGAGGCGGTGATGGAGGGACGTGTTAGACATACAGCCCACGTCGTATATTGACACTGTTTCTCCTCAGTATTCTCCTTTTCTTTCTGTGTCTGCCCATGTGGCCAAATTGAACAGCTGGCTTGCTCTCGCTCCGTAAGTCTCCATGGTCTGAGTGACCAGGCCGTCACACTTCACTGCCTCCCAGCGGACAAACACACACTCATGCTGACACACACAGACACACACACAGACACACACACAGGCGTGCGTAGCGTGGTTTCACTGTGCTGCAGTTCTGCTTGGTCAGTGGAGCAGAGAGTAGAGGAATGTTCCCCTGGCAGGACCCAGCAGGGCGAGGACTCGGGCGTTTAGTTACACACATGGTTGTGTCTCTTCACCTCTATCTGTCACCGCGGTGAGTGTCTTTTTTTTTTTTTTAACCATCATACACACTCACTGTCTGACTGCTGCACTTCAGTCTGGCTGTTACAACCTAGGGCGGCACAAACAAGCCATGACCAAACAGCCACATGCTTTGGCAAAGCAACGTGCCCGTGTCATGTGGAAGACATTACACAAATTATGCACTGCTTCCCTATAGCTCTTCCCTACAGCTACAAGTAACATATTTATTGATTTCTTTGTGTTTACTCGGGGAGTACTACTGCATTTGTGAAAAAAAAAGAAAAGAAAAGTTGTATGGAGCCTTTTATAGCTGCAGAAAAAAGTCTGATAAAATGCTTCAAGTGTCACTTAAGTCACTGTCAGTTGAAGCTAAAAACTACAAGTTTGAGATAAATAAAAATAAAAAACAAAAAATGTGGTGATGTTAAAAAGAAGCGAGCTTACCAGCCATCTCCTGTGTGAGGCTAGAAGTTCAATGGTGCATTAGCAAATTTAAGCATAACACACGCCCAAATTTCTGACCCAACTGTTGGTGGTCACATTTGTCGGCAACAGAATAAAGAATGTGTGAAAAGGTTTTGGTTTTGCAGCATCAATCGGACAATTTCCTAAAGTCCAACATTGGTACAGGAGCGCTTTGCTTAACTGGTGGAGCACGCTTTTAAAGCATCTCAAATGGAAGATTATTTGACATTCAAGAGTAGATCTGCAGAGGAGTGTTCCATTAATTTGATATTCATGCAGCAACAGAAGTCTGTGACATAAAATCATGTTCATTTACAATGTGTAAATGCCTTTCATGCGGGTGCCGTCAGGATAAATAAAAAAAAAGAGAAAAAAACGGGCTCTGTCCTTATGTATTCTGTTCTAGTCTGTTGCTATTCACGGAAGGAGGAAGAAAAAAAAAAAAACAGCAAGGGTATACAAAGACGCACAGAGGAAAGGAAAAAAAAAAAATCTAGATTGATGGACACAAAAAGGCTGAAATTTCACTTGGACCAAGAGGAAGAGGGAAAGACAACGAGGAGGAGGAGGAGGAGAGGGATCCACAGCAGTGGTTTATACATTTTTATGGTTTCAGAACACATTATCTTTTAATAAGGGCAGATACATTCTTTCTCGGTGTGATTTAATATGAGAGTGTGGCAGAGCAAACTCTTCTTTTAATATTTATAACACCCTCCTTGTCACCTGGCCTTGTGAGTCAGGCTTGTTTAATAAATTAAAAGGGGTTCAGGTTCTTCTGTGAACCGCCGCTTGGCCGAACAGAACCAGAAGTGTTGCTCTTAAACTGGCCCACTAACTCCTCCTCTGATCTGTTTCACTGATGCTGCCTTCATATGGGGCTGCTGAGAACAGATCTGCAGTAGTGATGGGGATTTCCAACAGGTTGTGTCAGCAGAAATAATATATTTAGAGTTATTTTATCTGGTCAGATTAGACAACATTAAATAACATGCTGGAAACTAAACTAGAAGTTGTGTTGACTCCTGAATTTTTAACGTCTAGAATACCTGAACAGCTCATTGTACCTGACTGATATGTGGCGATGATTTAATTGGTCCTTGTTGCCTCTGTTTAGATGCGATGTGTGAAAAAGCCAGTCAGCGAAAACTTGGCCAAAAGTTAACCTGGGAATTCAGTAGCGAAGAGCCTTTTAGCCCATGCGGTTTTGCATTCTAACCATTCGGCTGTCGTGTGGCCCCTTCAATTTCCTATCCGGGGGCTCAGGTGGACAGAAATGATGATCCTACAAGAAAAAAGCTTGCTCATTAACTACAAGCGTTACAGCCTTAGCTGACATTAGCCTCACCATATGTCTGTAGAACACGAACAGCAATGTAAGCACATTTGAAAATACACGAGAGAAATTCGACTATACTTCCGACATGAAACACCATGTAGCCGTATCTACTTTATCTCCAAAAGGACAAATGAGACATATTTCTACTACAAACCCAGCACAGTAGCCAAGTCTCGCTTCAAGATTCCAGGTTCAGCGACTATTTCTTTACTTTCACACTGGTGGCTCACAAGCGTGTATCCAACGCTAAGCTTGTTTGCACTTGCTTAGACAGGGGCTGATATATGTTTGCCAAATCAACAGATAACACACGAGCTCTGCGCGCAGCTGAAGCATCACAGGATGCTTCTTAAACGTGCAGCTTACAGCATGTCAAATATGTGTCCTTATCTCAGTCTTCAAACACCATTCAGTGAAGAATGCCACAAGAGATGTTTGCCATTATGTAAACTATTGTTACAGCATCTCCTGGGCTTGACAGCGTACCATCCTCTGCACTGTCTTTCATCTAAAGTCATCTTTTGTATGAGCAGTCTGAAGTGATCAGACGTCCTTTAATTCATTGTATATCAGCATGCCGTTCAAATGCCCTTTCCATACCGCTGCTTAGCTTACATCTACGTCTCTCTCTCTGTCTCGCACTTTACCCCCTTGGTTTTAAATTTTTTAATATTAACATTCATACCCTACAGGCATCGTTTCTTCTTCTGAATTATGCTTTTTTTTCTCCGTTCTCTGTTTAAGATATTGTGAAGCAATGGTTTCAGTTGCTCAGATCAATAAAGCAGCAGCTAGTTTAAGCGCGGGCTTATAGAGCTGCAGTGTCCTTGTGTCTCTGGTGTGGGTCAGGGAGTCTTTGAGTGTGTGAGAGCACATCATTATGCTTGACATTTCTTTCATTCATAAGAAACTGAAAAAGCCCTGAAAACCGAGGTGCGACTAGCCACATTTTTAGCGGTTAAAATGAAAATGAAATGAAATTTGTTGCGTCCTAATGAGATAATTAATGAACTGCCATGTGTGTGTGTGTGTGTGTGTGTGTGTGTGTGTGTGTGTTATACAATTTCCTTGCTTGTGGGATTTCTACGGAAAAGTAATGTGTCAATCTTTCACTCTCCTTCAAATAATACAACCAAACTAGCTGTAAAACTAGCTGCAAAGACAGAAACTTATGCTGTGAAAGTGCACTCCACACACAGCTGTTTCCTTCTTTTTACTCACATGTAATTAAAGTACTTATCTGGATGTTGTTTGGCACACCTGCCTGAAAACTTTCACACTTCTGTTTTACTTTGTTATCAATAAACAAAATTTAAAAAAACAAAAAACAAAACAAAACTTAAAATGGGTTGTTCCAATTTTCAGCATCTCCGACATGGAGACAGCAACCGAATCTTTATTTTACGATCATGACGTTTTGCAAAATCAACGGTGAAGGTTACTGAGAACACTGTGTGATGGCAGAGAAGTTCACAGGAAAGTTTTCGAGAAAGATCGGTGTCAGCACATATCAGAAAAAAAATTGGGTGTCCATGAATAAGCTCTGACTGAAGTGAAGTCACTTTTACCTACAGGCAGCACTCAACATTTCCAAAATAAAAGACAGACTGTGGGTGTAAATGCACATCTTTGTCTCCACAAATAGGCTAAAAACTGTTTAATATATCACTGACTTCAAGATGCTGAATACAACCTATTTTTGTCACTGGGTGATCTTGATTGAGTGTATAATTAAACAGGTAATCACAGTCTGGAGTGGCTGCACAGAGAACAGACGC